TTCCTTCTCAATAGTTCTGATTATACCAGAGATTAGGGATACCTTGCTCAGACAAGGGATTTGTTGGTGTTGCTGCTTAGTTCCCATTTGTTCTGTTTCTGCAGTGGGTAGTGTTTGAATGCACAGTCTCATAACTGGTCAAAGTGGTGAGAACATGTGACTGTTGAGTGCTCATTCCTAAATATAACAGGGACATCTTTATCAACCCCCACCATAACCAGGTTCAGGAAACATCATGGAAGAGCCAGAGGATGGGCAGGGGCAGTGGCCTGAAATGACGTCTTCTGAATATGACATGGCATTTGCATGTGTGAACTCATGGCAACTGGGGTGCCCAGCAGATACTTCCAAAGATCTAGCCTGTCCACATTTCAGCATGAAGGAAATTGGGGGCACATGAGGACTCAGCTGAGGAGATATTAGGATTAGTTACTGGTGGGGGAGAGAGAGCCATTTTTCTTTAATATGTGACCACTAGAAAGTTGCCCATGATCAAGTAAATAAGCCTACACAAGAACACACAAGAGATCCTGATTAAAATCAGTGGAGTATTTAAAAACATAAAGACAAGAAAAGAAGAGAGAACAAGAGTGGGTAAAGAGAGAGAAACAGTTGTTGAAGACGATAAAAATACTACATAGATGCATGAAATTGTCATACAGTATATAAAAATATTTTTAAAACAAGACAAACCAATCCGTAAATTGTCCCCTAGCAGAATGTAGCAGAAGCATTCCACAGGGGGCGTCTTTCACCCCGGTCTAGCTTGCCCTGGAGTTTAGAATAAGTATGCTGAGCTGGTAGAAAGAGGCAAGAAAAGAGTACTAGGAAGTCACAAGACTGGGATACAACAATTTTCAAATATTCTATAGTGATATTTCACAACACATAACCCAAAAGGCTCATTTTCATCTATTCTATGGAATAAAGGTCTTCAAAACAAACAAACAAACAAACAAACAAACAAAAATCCCCCAAACAGAACAACTGGGTAAATTTTAAACATTAACTTGGTCCTTTACTTTAGGTCTATTCTAAACTTGAATGATTACCTAAGAACATCTGTAAGTCTTACCTGTCTCCAAAAAGCTCCCAAACTGAGGATTCCCAGCTCTGAGGATATGTCCCTAAATGTCTTTTTATCCACAGGCTCCTTAGGAAAGAGACAGTGAGGGTGAGAGGTGAGATCTGAATGCCCAGTTACCAGACAATCCTGTGTCCAGGGGAGGCTCTCACTGCTCAGGACAGAGGAATAGCCCTCGGCTGTGCTCGAGTTTCTTCACTGGAACTCCACCTCTGCTTCTTCAGCAGAAACAGGGAAGTTGGCTGGTACTTGTATACTCTCTTGGCTTTTATCCCACCTTCAGAATGTGCTAGCTAATCACAAGGAGAATGGATCCCATTTCATTCCAGAATTATCTGCATTTCCAGCAACAGGAAAGTGAAACTAAACTCACTTTTTTTTTTTTTTCTTCAGTGGTTCCAGGATTCAAGGAAGTGGAAATTGCCCTGTCATAACATTTTAACCCAACGCTTAGCAAGTGAGAGGAGCTCCAGAAGCTACTTACTAACTAGGTTAGAAGATATTCCATGACCCATTAGAGTTTATTTTCCCTTGGTCCTTCTGCTGGATAGTTTTATGTCAGCTTGACACAAGCGATAGTCATCTGAGAGGAGGGAACCTCAATTAAGAACATGCCTTCAAAAGATTGAGCTGCAGGCAAGCCTGTAGGGCATTTTTTAAATTAGAAATTGATGGGGAAGGGCCCAGCTTCTTGTGGGTGATGCCATCCTTTGGCTGGGGGTCTTGGAGTCTAAAATGAGGAAAGTTGAACAAGCCATTGGGAGCAAGCCAGTAAGCAGCACCATATCCATGGCCTCTACATCAGCAGCTGCTCCAGGTCCCTGGCCTATTTGAGATCCAGTACTGACTTCTTTTGATGATGAACAGTGAAATGGAATTGTAAACCAAATAAACCCATTCCTCTCCAACCTACTTTTAGGTCATAATGTTTCATCACAAAAACAGAAACCTAAAGATAAGTTGGTAACAGGATCATGGGGTATTGTGAGAGATCTCACCATGTTGTTCTGAGAAGGATTGTGAAAGGACCTTGGAACTTTGGTCTAGAGAGCTATTAAGAGTTTAAACTTGATGACCTTTTCTGTAGAAGCTTGGAAGATAAGAATGTTGAGAGTAAAGCAATCAATGGAGGCCTGGCTTGTGAAGTTCCAGAGGGAAGTTTGAGAGTCACTTAAAGACTAAAGATGAAAGTCTGTGGTTATGGTTAGCTGGGGCTGAAGAATTAATTGTATTTAACAAGACAACAGAGCTACTGAAGTAAGTCTTTGCTTTACTGGGACAATAGATGCTGGCCAACTGGAGGTAAGAAATTAGCAGTGATTAAGAAGAGACCAACATCACCAAGGAAAACTCTTTTGGGAAGTGTTTCCTCAGAGTCAGTGCACAGAAGCTGTGTTCCCAGGCCACCAAGGTTTTACTTCTCACTGGCACCCGTACTTGGTACTGTCCAAGAGTCTCTCTTTTAATGGTTTTAAAGTTGTGAAGGGGACATGGAGAGCAGCTGAGGCTTGGCACTGTGGGAGGCCAGGCTAGGCCATTGGAGAAGGTTCAGCCTCAGTATTAGTGGAAGCCCAAGGATTGAAGGGTTCATGGAGAGAAGTTGAAGCTTGGTTGGCACCATGAAGAGAGCCCAGGAATGGCTATTGGTGGTAGCCTGATTGCATCAAGGGACCCCATCATTTTTGGAGATTCCAGTATCATGGGATGGCCAACAAGAACAGGAGCTGTGAGGTGGAACAGTGGTAACCCTTAACCATAAAATTACTTTCATTTCTACTTCATAACTGTAATTTTGCTACTCTTATGAATTGTAATATAAATATCTGTGATTTCTATTGTTCTTAGATAACCCTTACTAGGGTCACGACCCACGAGTTGAGAATCACTGGAATAAACATTTCTTTGAGCAGAGCCAGATGCATCCTTTTAGGAGGAAAGGCTTTGGGATTCGTCTATGGTTAGAGTAGGTCATGGAAATGGAGTTCAAATGATAGAATCATGAGAAGAAGCAACAGGGAATCATTCTCTGCACACATACACCATGGAAGACCAAGTGAGGTATTACCAGGAAGAATGCTTTCACTGAGGGTTTGGCTACACTGGCACCTGGATCTCAGACATTAGTCACTAGAAGTGTGAGAACAAAATTCTATTGTTTAATCCACATAATCTATAGGATTCCTGCAGCCCAAACTTTAAGAAACCACTCCTCACCATGAACAATATTCCCCTTTCCGCTGGGTCTCTCTTTCAGTCTTATTAACCCATGTACTATTTGTTTGTATTTCATTTCAAGGAAGATAAAATGTCAGCCAGGGAATGGGCAATAAGATAATCAGCCAATAATAGCAATACTAAGGACAGTCACTGTGAAGCTATTATGGGTTCTTGGGAATATCAAGCAGCAACAAATGTCTTTTTTGTTTCAGAATGAATGTATTAAATGGCTTTTGGTATTAATATTGAGTAAATCAGTCATTTAGCAATCACAACATTAAAAAACCTATAAAGTAGAGAAGTCTATTCATCTTCACTGGTTCTGGCACAGAATTAGAGGCTTTTTTAGTATTTTCTCAAGGATGTTGACTAGGATTTTTAGGAATTTCTTAGTTATTATTAAGGCTATTGTGATCTCTTTGGTTATTGTTTCTCTCTCTCTTGCTCTTGATTAAACATTTATATTTTGAATGTTTGCCTTACATGTATATCTGTTTACCACATGTGTGCCTGGTTCCTGTGGAGGTCAGTAAAGTGTATCAGATCCCCTGGAACAAGAGTTATAGTCTACTGTGGCTACTATGAGAGTTCTATTATGTAGGAATTGAACCTGGGTCCTCTTCAAGATCAGCCAGTGTTCTTAACCTCAGAGCTCTCTCTCCACCCTTCTTATACCCATTTTCCGGAGTGCTAGGGATTGAAGCCGAGTCTCATGCAAGTGATGCAAGCACTATACCATTGAGCTTCTACCCCAATCCTTCCTTCTTCCTCTAAAAAAGAAACGTTTTGTTTGTGTGCATTTGCACGTGTGATTGCAGGCATGAACCTGACATGGTATGTGAACAAAGGTCAAAGGTCCCATTGCTTGTGTCAGGGTCTCTTATTAACTGCTGCATGTGGCAGGTTAGCTGGCCTCAGGGCTTCCAGGATCCTCTGTCTCTGCCTCCTACCTCACCACAGGAGTGTGTGATTACAGATATTTAGCTGGCTCTTTGTGAGCTCTAGGGATCTGAACAGAGGTCTTCAGACTTGCAAGGTAAATGCTTTATCTACTGAGCCATGTCTCCAGCCCAGTTATGGTTTCTCCCTGGGTACTGCTATCAAGAAAGGACACAAGTATCAAATTCAAGGTTACAGAGGCCATCATTACCAAGAAGTCACAGCAGCAGCTGGAGGCGGCTAGTGCCCCTCTACCCACAGTGAAAAAGCAGACAGCAATGGATGAATAAAAGCATGCTGCTGATTAGCACCTCTCTCCACATAAACACTCAAAGATACACACTAGCTAGGGAATGATGCTACCCACAGCATGCAGGGCTCCTGACATTAATTAACATAAGCAAAATAATTCCTCAAATCAAGCCCAGAGGTGCATCTCCCATGTGATCTAGAGTCTGTCCAAAACTATAACCATCAAAATGTTAAACCTAAAAATGGATGCTGCTTTATAGTGAACTAATTCAAATAAATGTGCAATTACTCCATCTGAGAGTTTATTCAAAGTGAGTAGATAGTTTTTAGATCTCAGCTTATTTACATACATCTGATTGATCCCCTTACTACAGCTAATGTGGAGATATGATCAATAAGTATGGATAAAGCCTGGATGGCATGAATAAACTCAGTATGTTATTTTGCAATATCTGTGTCCTATGTTTGTGTCATTGATTCTGATTTTTGACAGCTACATGATTTCAGTCTAATCAGAAACCAAGTTGTTTCTTGAACATATCTCTTTGAGAAGAGCATTAGCATCATCTGTCACCATGTCAACGAAATATAATTTTAGGTAGTATAATTCCTTAACATAAACATTCTTATTAAACAAATGCCCATTAGCCAAACAGAACTCCTCATAATATCTTGAAAGCCTTTCTTGTACTGTTTCTTTCTTTGTAGTTGTGAACACATTAGGAGATTTCATCTTTGCCTTGAGCTGATCCACTGACATTTGCCAGTCCTCAGCCAAACTCTGCAAGGATGCATCATCCACTCCAAACACAGTTCGATAGAAATTCAGGCTTTTCTCAAGGTTCTCCACATCACTGCTCATGAATAGGGTCAGTGAAGGGATGATATTTAGGAGGTCAGTTGTAAAGGCTTCTAGCCAAATCCTCTGTTTCAGGGATTGTCGCTTCTTTTCAATGGTTGTACCTGTAATATTAGGCAAGGAGAGCATAAAAACATGTCGTTTATGTACAGGGAGAACACTCATAATGTTGTCCATCAGGATTGGGAAATCATAATCAGACAAATTTTTGTTAGAGATCAAGAAGATTGGTGGTTCATCAATGTTATTCTCCTGAAACGTTTTCACACAATTGGTGCGGATCTGCTGCAGGACCTTTTCTTTGTTAAAGGTGCGTGGTTTGAATTCCTTTTCATTGTTTAAGTCAGAGTCCACCTTGGTTCTTACAAAGTAGAAATCCTTCTTCATCATGCTGATTGCTTTGGCAAGGTCTATATCATTTTGCTTAAAGCGTGTGGCAGAAACAATAATGAAGAAGTCATACTCATGGAATTTCATTTTCTCCAGATAATCTTTTGGTGGGAAATTTGTGGTTCCAATCCCAGGCAAGTCCCAAAAAACCACATTGGGAATATTGGGGTGTTTGTATGGATGTCTCTCCATGGTCGTTTCCACTACTCCAATTTCAGCTGCATCTTCGTCTTCATGTCCAACCCCTCTCAGGCCATTGATGAAGGTAGATTTCCCTGCTCCAGACTCCCCGGTCACAGCAACATTGAGTGGGGTACTATCAATTTTTTTTAATGCATCAGTGATTGAAGAGTTTGCCCCCTGAATGTTTCCTTCTTTCAGGCTTAACTCAATTGACGCTATGGTTTCCTGAGGAATGATTTTGTTTCCTGTCTTAAACTTTTTAAAATATTCGGTAAAGGTGGAGGCCAAATCTCTGTGGTGATCATCCTTAGATGAAGAGAACAGCTGACCCATGACTGTGTTCAAATAAAGGCCCTGAAAGAAAGAAGGAAAATTTAGGAGGGTGTGTATCAAATTGAAAATCTATTGTAGCAACTTTCAAGTGTATTGCCACATCCCATCCTTAATGGTTGTCACTATGCATTGGATCTCCCATTGTGCTTATTTTACACAATTGGGATTTTGTGTCTTTGACTAATATCACCCTATTTCCTTCTCCCCAAAGCTTTGCCCAACACCCTGATTTCTACCTCTATGAGTCTGTCTACTCTAGATTTCACTTGTAAATGACACAATAGGGTCATACTTTCTGCAGGTAGCTGAGACCTTTTCACGAGATTTTAATCATTTATTCTCCATTGTCTCTTCACAGATCCATCTCATCTTTTCAGCTGCTCTGTGCCTCTGTGCTATGTAGACTTCATGAGCAAAGGTCCCTCACCTTCTAGCTTGCAGTATCATTCAACTGTATCTGCTCATGGCTTCCTTGTGCCCTGCTTGGGCTGCATGTCTGACTGTGCATGCACCCATCATTCTGTGCAATCTATGCAATATTTTACCCTTTGTTCAGTACTCATGATAATTTTAAGGATAATATTTTCTTCTTGTTCCCTTTGCTTAGATCTGGCAATGGCCCCTCACACTGTCTGGTCTCTGGTTGTCATGCAGTCCCTTATTTATCTGTTTGGCATAACTGATTTTCTGAATTTGTTATTTTACTCAAGTGTCTTCATACAATATTTATTGATGAAGACTTCCTGATCTGTAATGTGTAACTCTTTTCCAATGAAGATTTGGATTGAAGGCCAATGGCCAAGCCTCTTTCTGAGGTGAAATGGGACCAATCTTTGCAAGTCTATTGATCACAGTAACTCTTGAAACTTGGATTTGACAATCTGTATTGACACTTGGGTTATATCCAGAGTCTTGACTTATGGATTGCCCATTGGGAAAAGAAGAACTGGCAGGTACTAGGTCTGCTACTGTTGGGACAACAGGTGTAGATGGACATGTATAACTCATTTCTACAGCAATAAGAACCCTGGCAATTTCTTCATGTAGCATTCCCTAGCCCACAGATTCCTGGATCCAGGAAGCAGAGACCATGAGCAAAGAGGACTATCAACCTTCTGGTGCTACTAGATTCTATTCCTTGGGTTCATGTGAAATCTGGACACAATAAGCTATCATGAGATGGAAAAAGGTGAAGCCACTGGCATTTCTATAAAAATATTTGGGTACCCTGAATGCTGTGCAGCCATGTGCAATCAGCGTCCATGTATGGATGATCAGATAGGACAAGAACATGTGTCAATCTATTATTGACTAATTTAGGCTGACACCTTCAAAGGCAGATTCCTCCATTCAATACCTTCAAACTGTCCTTTTCCTTATTGTCAGCTAAAATATAATTGTGAAAGCTGGGGATTCCCAGAGGTATTTCTGTCCATCACTTTAAAATGAGCATGCTCAGGGAATGTAATTCTAAAATGAGCATGCTTGAATGTTGGACTACCCCTATATGAACAAGTATGGACCCCATGAATAAAATTGGTATTCTTCCTTAGTTGGGGAGTGAGTTAGAGCATCACTTTGGAAATATCTCCAGTGTCAATTTTGCCTGACTGAGGTAATCATTATTTTTCCACTGTGTTATATTTGACTTGTTTATTTTGTCTTTGAGTTCATTAAGATGTGAAATCAGTGCATTGGGATTTTATTGCTGGTTAACTAAAGGGCCCTGTCTCATGAAGGAGCCCTCTCCACTGCCAGAGATAAAGTAGGGAATGGACACATTTCAGGGCCCTGGATTTCAGCTCTTCCACAGCCAGGTGGTCCTGTGAAGACTTTGTGAATCTTCAGAAGTTTTTCCTATCTGGCCAGTGTTGTAGGACCCTTGAGCCAGCTCTTCAAAAGAGGTCTCAGGGACAGGAAGAAATCCATAGACTGCTTGACTGAAAGCACACTCTATGGTTCTCTCACCAATCACATGGCACAACAGAACGTCCTCTCTCTGACACCCATAAGACGGGATTCCTCATGCTGCCACATGGGTCCAATCTCAGAGCCTCTGCCATGATGCTGCCTGTCTGTCCATCATTGGCATTCACAACCCTTTTTTTTAAACCAATGTCTTATTCAAATAACAATCTGCCCCAGTGTCCTTCTTGAACCCCAGACCTGGGATCTTTCCTAATGGTATGGAGATGGAGTTTCTCATCCTATAGATCAGCATAAAGGCACCTCAGGGAGAAAGGTGGGCCTGTGTTTGTTTTATTGATTGGATGATTTGCTTTGTATGTGATAGAAGACCCAGAACTGTGATTTTGCAGCTTGGTTCTGTAAACACCAAAGTTAAAATTTCAGCCGAGTAAAGAAAATAGTTTTCATGTTGACTAATCTTTTGTTTTTCAGCTTCATCCACATTGTGTTTATTCATCCTGTTTAAGGTACTACATATTGAGATATAAGTTTTCTAATTTGCTTCAAGTAAAAATTAAAAATTATAAAGAACTTATTTAAGGTTGAATCTCATTTAGAGACAAGGAAAAATAATAAGAATAGAAGACTTTAAAAAATAATTGGACAGAGTAAATTTAACAAAAATATTCTTTTGGCTTCCTTAAAATGTATTTGATGTATATTTATGTGTATATGCCTATTGTGTTATGTCTACATATATGCTTATGCTCATATACTGCTTACCTGGCACCAAAATGCCCTGTAATACTAAATTAAAACTGTTAGATTTGTCCAACTTCCTTTTAGTTCATATACGGTAAATAAATCTTTGACAAATAATTTAGATTATCTGGTGAAAGGTGAGTTTACCTCTAGAATTGTTAATGTGTATTCCTCCCAGGCTCCTGGCCTTGGTTAATAATTGTCTGTTAAATATTACAATGTTCTTTGCTTTCCTAAGTAGATAAACTTTGCTTTCTTAATGAACACTCGAAATTCAGCACAGCCCCAGGCTATAACAGCTGCCACAGGTTGGTTTTCATTTCTTAGGGTGAATAAATACTTTGAGTTAAAACTTCGCTGCCTTCTAATTAAAAAGCACACATGTATTGTGTTTTGTTTCTGAGGTTCAGTACAAGCTGAGTAGCCTCTGGCTTAAGGTATCCGGGTGTTCTGTGGTCTGTCCCCTTTCAGAGCTCTGACTACTATAATGGGGGACATAGCCTCATTTTTGCCTGTTTTGACAAATTGTTCTGACTATGCTTATGACTCTATGATAAAGCAATCAGTTCATATCCCTCCCAGTTCATCAGGGCTACAAAAACTTTTTCTACATAAAAGTTGCTCATTTATATCATGTCTCACAGTATTAAAAAAAAAGTAAAATGGATTCATTAATTAGGAGAAAAATGTTTAAAAGGTTATAAGTATGCTGATATGTGTTTTTGGAAATGTTGAAGGGAAAAGACTTTTAAATTGGTTTTGTTCTAAGATAGAGGATAGTTATAGAGTTAAAAAAGTATATGGGTATGACTGAGTTAGCTACAGTTAAAGGATATTAAAATTTCTAATGTCAAAGTTCACTATACTGATATAAATCTAAAATCTAGCCTTATTTATATCAAGGAGGTTCTCTTAAAATACTGATCTACTTTTGGGAACATTACAAAAGTAGATTTTATTTAAAACAACATTCATCAGAACCATAAGAGGAAGGTTGTGGTAAGTTACAAAAAACTGTATCCAACAGCAATTCAGGGCTAGTAGACAATATTTTTTTATATAATGTTACAGGATTAGGTATTTTAATACCTAATTTTGTATGTACATTTTTTTGGGTAAAATTTTCTAAACCTTATGTTTCTTTCAGGTAAGTATTTCTGTTTCCTGCTGACAGCCTGAGTGCTGACAGGGACAGGCCCTGGGTCCCAGCACTGCCAGCAACAAAACAGAAAACCAAGAACAAAGGCCACAAAGCCCAAACCCTGCTCCCCATCCTCAGGAAAATGCTGGCCCCCCACAGGGTGTTGGGGGTGCGGCTCAGCTCCTGGCCTCCTGGTTAGGAAATTCCCACTAAAACACCAGGGTCCCCTCTGAATTTTGTTAATCTTCTCCCAAGCTGGACAGACATCCAAGTTCAACTGTCAGCCTCACATAAACCTATCAGAGGAGGGGAGACCAGATCTAAGATTTTCTGATAGCTACTGAAATTAACTATTTGGTAATAAATTTGGCCAATCACAAAAGCTGACTGAACTCTGTAGAAATGAAATTAGTTATGTCTGTCAGGGCAGCCATGAGCCTGGATCCACTGGATTTAGCCTGGTGAAAGTTATCAAGACAAAAGTTGCTGGAATCTTTTTACATAGCCTCCCATCCTTGTGGTCCCCATCCCTTGTTCTAATTGTACACACTCTAAAACTGTCTTGGGCCAGCAAGATGCCTGATCAGGTAAGGCCACTTGTCACTAAGCCAGATGATCTGAGTTCTAGTCCCAAGACTCACATAGTGATGAGAGATAACTGACTTCCACAACTTGTCTTTTGACCTCCACATACATGTGCTAGCATGAGGGCACCAAGCCTCAGTATATGAGTAAGGGAATGAATAAATAAATGTAATAAAAAAACAAATAAAATACACTATACAAAATTCCCAAAGAACTACAAAAGAAAACATAAAGTGGAAAATAAGCAACAAAAAATTTGTCTTTAATGTCTTGCACTGTGTATGAGCACAACAAACTGTAGTGATATGAAACATCAATCATTACAAAAGGATGCAATTCTTCATTAGCACCCCATCTTTCCAATAAAAACCATGAAGTTAAAGAGGATTTCTTAACTAAAAATGCCCACAGCATCTGCTACTGCTTTTTTGAGAAATGGCCATGCTGGCCAATTTCCATCTCAATACTTCTGATTACACCAGAGATTAGTGACACCTTACTCAGACAAGGGATTTGTTGGTGTTGTTGCTGCTTAGTTCCCATTTGTTCTGTTTCTGCAGTGGGTAGTGTTTGAATGCACAGTCTCATAACTGGTCAAAGTGGTGAGAACATGTGACTGTTGAGTGCTCATTCCTAAATATAACAGGGATATCTTTATCAATCCCCCACCCTACCCAGGTTCAGGAAACATCCTGGAAGAGCCAGAGGATGGGCAGGGGCAGTGGCCTGAAATGATGTCTTCTGAATATGACATGGCATTTGCATGTGTGAACTCGTGACAACTGGGGTTCCCAGCAGAGACTTCCAAAGATCAAGCCTGTCCACATTTCAGCATGAAGGAAATCGGGGGCACATGAAGGCTTAGCTGAGGAGATATTAGGATTAGTTACTGGTGGGGGAGAGAGAGCCATTTTTCTTTAATATGTGACCACTAGAAAGTTGCCCATGATCAAGTAAATAACCCCACACCAGGACACGAAAGTGATCCTGATTAAAATCAGTGGAGTATTTAAAAACATAAAGACAAGAAAACATAGGGGAAACCATTGGGAAGAGGAAGGATGCCTGAGAGAGTAAGAGTCAGAAAAGAGAGAGGAATAATGGGTGAAGAGGATTTTAAAACAAACAAACCGATCCTAACATTGTCACCCAACATCCTACATGGGGGTCATTCACCCCAGTCTAGCTTCCCCTGGAGTTTAGAATAAATATGCTGAGCTGGTAGAAAGAGGCAAGAAAAGAGTACTAGGAAGTCACAGGATTGTGACACAAAAATTTTCATATAATCTATAGTGATATTTCACAACACATATGCTGAAAGACTCATTTTTTTCTATTCTAGGGAATAAAGGTCTTCAAAACAAACACACAAACAAAAATCCCCCAAACAGAACAACTGGGTAAATTTTAAACGTTAACTTGGTCTTTTACTTTAGGTCATTCTAAACTTGAATGATTACCTAAGAACATCTGTAAGTCCTACCTGTCTCCAAAAAGCTCCCAAACTGAGGATTCCCAGCCCTGAGGATATGTCCCTAAATGTCTTTTTATCCACAGGCTCCTTAAGAAAGAGACAGTGAGGGTGAGAGGTGAGATCTGAATGCCCAGTTACCAGACAATCCTGTGTCCAGGGGAGGCTCTCACTGCTCAGGACAGAGGAATAGCCCTCGGCTGTGCTCGAGTTTCTTCACTGGAACTCCACCTCTGCTTCTTCAGCAGAAACAGGGAAGATGGCTGGTACTTGTATACTCTCTTGGCTTTTATCCCACCTTCAGAATGTGCTAGCCAATCACAGAGGAGAATGCATCTGGTTTCATTCCAGAATCTTGTGCATTTCTAGGAACAGGAAAGTGAAACTAAACTCACTTTTTTTTTTCCTTCAGTGGTTCCAGGAGTCAAGGAAGTGGAAATTGCCCTGTCATAACATTTTAACCCAACGCTTAGCAAGTGAGAGGAGCTCCAGAAGCTACTTACTAACTAGGTTAGAAGATATTCCATGACTCATTAGAGTTTATTTTCTCTTGATCCTTCTGCTGGATAGTTTTATGTCAGCTTGACACAAGCGATAGTCATCTGAGAGGAGGGAACCTCAATTAAGAACATGCCTTCAAAAGATTGAGCTGCAGGCAAGCCTGTAGGGCATTTTTTAAATTAGAAATTGATGGGGAAGGGCCCAGCTTCTTGTGGGTGATGCCATCCTTTAGCTGGTGGTCTTAGGGTCTAAAATGAGGCAGGTTGAGCAAGCCATTGGGAGCAAGCCAGTAAGCAGCACCACATCCATGGCCTCTACATCAGCAGCTGCTCCAGGTCCCTGGCCTATTTGAGATCCAGTACTGACTTCTTTTGATGATGAACAGTGAAATGGAATTGTAAACCAAATAAACCCATTCCTCTCCAACCTGCTTTTAGGTCATGATGCTTCATCACAAAAACAGAAATCTAAAGATAAGTTGGTAACAGGATCATGGGGTATTGTGAGAGATCTCACCATGTTGTTCTGAGAAGGATTGTGAAAGGACCTTGGAACTTTGGTCTAGAGAGCCATTAAGAGTTTAAACTTGATGACCTTTTCTGTAGAAGCTTAGAAGATAAGAATGTTGAGAGTAAAGCAATCAATGGAGGCCTGGCTTGTGAAGTTCCAGAGGGAAGTTTGAGTCACTTAAAGACTCAAGATGAAAGTCTGTGGTTATGGTTAGCTGGGGCTGAAGAATTAACTGTATTTAACAAGAGAGCAGAGCTACTGAAGTAAGTCTTTGCTTTACTGGGACAATAGATGCTGGCCAACTGGAGGTAAGAAATTAGCAGTGATTGAGAAGAGACCAACATCACCAAGGAAAACTCTTTTGGGAAGTGTTTCCTCAGAGTCAGTGCACAGAAGCTGTGTTCCCAGGCCACCAAGGTTTTACTTCTCCCTGGCACCCGTACTTGGTACTGTCCAAGAGTCTCTCTTTTAATGGTTTTAAAGTTGTGAAGGGGACATGGAGAGCAGCTGAGGCTTGGCACTGTGGGAGGCCAGGCTAGGCCATTGGAGAAGGTTCAGCCTCAGTATTAGTGGAAGCCCAAGGATTGAAGGGTTCATGGAGAGAAGTTGAAGCTTGGTTGGCACCATGAAGAGAGCCCAGGAGTGGCTATTGGTGGTAGCCTGATTGCATCAAGGGACCCCATCATTTTTGGAGATTCCAGTATCATGGGATGACCAGCAATGAGGTGGAACAGTGGTAACCCTCAGCCATAAAATTATTTTCATTTCTACTTCATAACTGTAATTTTGCTACTCTTATGAATTGTAATGTAAATATCTGTGATTTCTATTGTTCTTAGATGACCCATACTAGGGTCACGACCCACGGGTTGAGAATCACTGGAATAAACATTTCTTTGAGCAGAGCCAGATGCATCCTTTTAGGAGGAAAGGCTTTGGGATGTGTCTACGGTTAGAGTAGGTCATGGAAATGGAGTCCAAATGATAGGATCATGAGAAGAAGCAAGAGGGAATCATTCTCTGCACACATATACCAAGGAAGGCCATGTGAGGCATTATTAGGAAGAATACTTTCACTGAGGGTTTGGCTACACTGGTACCTGGATCTCAGACATCAGTCTCTAGAAGTGTGAGAACAAAATTCTATTGTTTAATCCACATAATCTATAGGATTCCTGCAGATCAAACTTTAAGAAACCACTCCTCACCATGAAAAATTTTCCCCTTTCCTCTGGGTCTCTCTTTTAGTCTTACTAACCCATGTACTATTTGCTTGTATTTCATTTCAAGGAAGATAAAAAGTCGGCCAGGGAATGGGCAATAATCAACCAATAATAGGAATACTAAGGACAGTCACTGTGAAGCTATTATGGGTTCTTGGGAATATCAAGCAGCAACAAATGTCTTTTTTATTTCAGAAAGAATGTATTAAATGGCTTTTGGTATTAATATTGAGTAAATCAGTCATTTAGCAATCACAACATTCAAAAACCTATGAAGTAGAGAAGTCTATTCATCTTCACTGGTTCTGGCACAGAATTAGAGAGCTTCTTTAATATTTTCTCAAGGATGCTGGCTAGGATTTGTAGGAATTTCTTAGCTATTATTAAGGCTATTGTGATCTCTTTGGTTATTGTTTCTCTCTCTCTTGCTCTTGATTAAACATTTATATTTTGAATGTTTGCCTTACATGTTTATCTGTTCACCACATGTGTGCCTGGTTCAGGTCAATAGAGTGGATCAGATCCCCTGGAACAGGAGTTATAGTCTACTGTAGCTACTATGAGGGTTATATTATGTGGGAATTGAACCTGGGTCCTCTTCAAGATCAGCCAGTGTTCTTAACCTCGGAGCTATCTCTCCAGCCTCCTTTTACCCATTTTCAGGAGTGCTAGGGATTGAACCCGAGGTCTCATGCATGTGATGCAAGCACTATACCATTGAGCTTCTACCCCAAACTTTCCTTCTTCTTCTAAAGAGTAAACGTTTTGTTTGTGTGCGTTTGCACGTGTGATTGCAAACATGAACATGACATGGCATGTGTACAGAGGTCAAAGTCCCATTGCTTGTGTCAGGGTCTCTTATTCACTGCTGCATGTGGCAGGTTAGCTGGTGACCTCAGGGCTTCCATGAGTCTCTATCTCTACCTCCTATCTCACCACAGGAGTGTGTGATTACAGATGCTTAGCTGGCTCTATGTGAGCTCTAGAGATCTGAACAGAGGTCTTCAGACTTGTAAGGTAAGTTCATTATCTACTGAGCCATGTCTCCAGCCCAGTTATGGTTTCTCCTTGGGTACTGCTATCAAGAGAGGACACAAGTCAAATTCAAGTTACAGATGCCATCATTACCAAGAAGTCACAGCAGCAGCTGGAGGCGGCTAGTACTTCTCCACCTACAGTGAAAAAGCAGAGAGCAATGGATGAATGAAGGCATGCTACTGATTAGCACCTCTCTCTACATAAACACCCAGAGATACACACTAGCTAGGGAATGATGCTACCCACAGCAGGCAGGGCTTCCCACCTCAATTTACATAAGCAAAATAATTCCCTAAATCAAGCCAGATGTTCACCTCCAATGTGATCTAGAGTCTGTCCAAAACTATAACCATCACAATGTTAAACCTAAAAATGGATGCTGCTTTATAGTAAACTAATTCAAATAAATGTGCAATTAATCCACCTGAGGGTTTACTCAAAGTGAGTAGATAGCTTTTAGATCTCAGCTCATTTACATACATCTGATTGATCCCCTTGCTACAGCTAATGAGGATATATGATCACTAAGTATGGATAAAGCCTGGATGGCATGAATAAACTCAGTATGTTGTTTTGCAATATCAGTGTCTTATGTTTCTGTCATTGATTCTGATTTTTGACAGCTACAGGATTTCAGCCTAATCAGAAATCAAGTTGTTTCTTGAACATATCTCTTTGAGAAGAGCATTAGCATCATCTGTCACCATATCAACAAAATATAATTTTAGATAATATAATTCCTTAACATAAACATTCTTATTAAACAAATGTCCATTTGCCAAACAGAACTCCTCATAATATCTTGAAAGCCTTTCTTGTACTGTTTCTTTCTTTGTAGTTTCGAACACATTAGGAGATTTCATCTTTGCCTTGACCTGATCCACTGACATTCCCCATTCCTTAGCAAAACTCTGCAAGAAAGCATCATCTACTCCAAACACGGTTCGATAGAAGTTCATGATTTTCTCAAGATTCTCCACATCACTACCCTCGAAGAGTCAGAGAATGGATGATACTTCTGAGTTCAGATGTACAGGCTTCTAGACAATTCCTCTGCATCAGGAATTGTTGCTTTCTTTCAATGGCTGCACCTTTAATACTAGGCAAGGAGAGCATAAAATTGTATAGTTTGTATACAGGGAGAGCATTCATAACCTTGTCCATCAGGATTGGGAAATCATAATCAGCCAAATTTCTGTTAGAGATCAAGAAGATTGGTGGTTCATCAATGTTATTCTTCTGACACGTTTTCATAAAGCTGGTGCGGAGCAGATGCAGGACCTTTTCTCTGTTAAAGGTGCATGGTTTGAATTCCTTTTCATTATTTAAGTCAAGGTCCACCTTGGTTCTCACAAAGTAGAAATCCTTCTTCATCATGCTAATTGCTTTGGCGAGGTCTATATCATTTTTCTTAAAGCGTGTGGCAGAAACAATAATGAAGAAGTCATACTCATGGAATTTCATTTTCTCCAGATAATCTTTTGGTGGGAAATTTGTGGTTCCAATACCAGGCAGGTCCCAAAAAACCACATTGGGAATATTGGGATGTTTGTATGGATGTCTCTCCATGGTCATTTCCACCACTCCAATTTCAGTTGCATCTTTGTCTTCATGTCCAACCCCTCTCAGGGCATTGATGAGGGCAGATTTCCCTACTCCAGACTCCCTGGTCACAGCAACATTGAGTGGGGGTACTATCAATTTCTTTTAATGCATCAATGATCATAGACTCTGCCCCCTGAATATTTCCTTTTTTCAGACTTAACTCAATTGAAGCTATGGTTTCCTGAGGAATGATTTTGTTTTCTGTTTTAATCTTCTTATAATATTTGGCAAAGCTGAAGGCCAAATCTATGTGGTGATCATCCGTAGATGAAGAGAACAGCTGACCCATGACTGTGTGCAAATAAAGGCTCTGAAAGAAAGAAGGAACAGTCAGGAGGGTGTGTATCAAATTGAAAATC